ATAATGGTAGTAATATTGATACTTAGTTTGTACCTATAAAGAGCAACAGGCAGTTATAGAGATGGGGCTGCAACGTCGTGAAGTAAATATTTGGAAGGGAGTCAGATAGGGATGCACACTGCCACCGCTATAGCTACGAATACTTTTTAATCTATACATCGAAGACGCGATCAACATCATTAAAGACAGTACAACTGTAGAGATAGATACACAGGGGCAAAAGATTAGTATGCTTAGATTTCCAGATGATATAGCATCTAGCAAGGAGTTAAAGATATCTTTAAATAAAATGGTGCGATACTGTCAAAACAGTACTGTATGAAAATAAATAAAAGTAAAGCAAAATCTGGGGACGCAAAAATAAGGAAAGAGCAAATATAAAGACAGGAGACGAAAAATTAGAAGAAGTTGCCGATTTTAGGTACCTACTTAGGAAGTCAGATAAGTCAGGACGGAAGGAGTAGTAGGGATATAAAGCAGAGGATAGCGCAGGGTCGAATCGCCTTCAATAAAAAGCACTTCTATGCTTGCGAACGGTTAATTTAGAAATTCGAAAAAGGCTGTTAAAGGTGTATGTTTGGAGCGCGGCGCTGTACGGGTGCGAAACATGGACAGTGGGCCCTGCGGAAAAGAAAGGTTAGAAGCGTTAGAAATGTAGTGTTGTAGAAAAATGATGAGGATAGCGCGGATAGAGGTATTAGAAAGAATAGGAGAACAGAGGACTTTATGGAAGTCAATAAGATATAGGCGAGATTGGCTGGTAGGCCACCTTCTCAGGTATGAAAGTCTAGTGACAGACCTATTAGAGGCATATGTTTTTTAGACGACCTTATGATAATGGCATTAATTTGAAAAATGAAGAATATTCTCATAAGTACGTACATAGCAAACAAAAAGTTTAATTTTGTAGATTTTAATTATCCATGAAAAAGCTAAAAGGAAAACTATGGCTTTTTCAATTTTTTAAGTTTCTAATACGTTAAAATACCAACATCAAGTAATGGTTGTTCATGTTTACCTAACGCTATGGCATTAACATATTTTTTCAAATTAATATACTTTCATATGCTAAACTGAAAACAAAGAAATACTAAATAACAACAATGCTATCTGAACGGAGGCACCACCCGTCCGAGAAGCCCAAATGATACTTTGCTTCTAGGGAGCCTCGCCTCTTCTTTTCAGAGAAGGGGGTGTGATTTACATAGGGTATATATATATATATATACCCTATGTAAAATATATATATAGGTTTGTTAGGTATTATATGGTATTGGTGGAGGCCCAATACAGATTTTATCACTTCTAATATAATGATGACGACTGAACGGAGCACTGATCTGATCCTTGCTCATCATACGACGTCCGGCGAGAAAATGATAAATGCTTAGAGTTTAATGGCTTGTGTACTCTTCGACCGACTGGTGAATTCTAAACCGTAGGATCACTTTTTAATCCTATCGCAAAATGTCGGTCTTTTTTGCACGTGCTCATAAATCAGTTAATCACCTTTATGTATGCTAAACGAAAGTATACGAGAACAACTCAGTAGCTTCACTAAAGCCTATATAAGTACGGAATATATTTGCTCTGAATCTACAGACTGCTAATTACTAAAATCTACGTTTTTAACGTTAACTTTGACACTTTGGTCTGTTTTGTGTAAAAATTCAGGGAATGCAATTAATGTTTCAAAAGTAAGGAAGTCAACTAACCAAATAGTGGGTGTTAAGGGATTACTCTTACAATTGAGATCTGAATATGCATATAATAACAGTATAAGATTACCACCAATGTTGAGATTTTAGGATACTGAATAAGTTAAAATAAAATTAATTTTAACATTTCTTGTCACATGTTAACCTCCCACTAACTTGATCATTACAAGGAAGACAGTCTAAAGACTGTCTGAACATGCACTTTCACTGACTCCTACAAAACACTCTTTTCTGCCTACGTTTTGCACTAATACATAGTCACACTTTAAACATTTACTTTTAATCCTGTGAAAACATTCAAATTAGCCATTCACGAACACAGAAGTGATTTTTTCTTGTTGAAAGCGTCTGTTATTTTTTTCTTGACTTGAGGTATGTTTTCTATTGTTACAGGATATGTATGAAAAAATGATACAAATCGATCCAAACGCACCATCGGATGAAGAGCATCGCTTGAAAGCGGTAACAAAACCTCGATACATGATTTGGCGGGAAACTATATCTTCCACTGCAACATTGGGTTTCCGAATCGAAGGTATCCGAAAATCTGATGGCACATCAACAAAAGACTTCAAGACTACAAAAACTAAAGACCAAATTATCAACGCATTCCATGAATTCACTGAAGGATTTCCACACGCTGTGGTATGTGATTTTATAATGATATAATAAATTACAAATTAAAAAAAATCCAGTGTTTTTGGGATAACTATCTGTGTCATAATTTTTCATTATTTCAAAAATTTTCGACCTTGTAAGACACCATTAGGTGGGTTCAAGGAAAATTTAGCATCGGAAGAAATTACTTTATTGAGCGTTTTTTACGAGATTCATCGGTTTGGTTAGTGATTTATTGAGAAGTGCCATCCCTTTCCATTTAATATACATATTAAATAAATAATGTTGTTTATTTATTTTTAAATTACTCTGACGGTGGTTCTTCTTTTGTTTCAGCCAAAGTATATCCAAAGACTTAAAGCTATAAAGGCAACATTACAGGCCTCTAACTTTTTTAATACACACGAGGTAAGTAACTATTTAATTTGAAAAACTTACATATACTTTATTTATATGTGTATAGCTTTATAATAAAATTATAATGGTAGTAATATCGAGAATTGATATAAGAGCCATTCTTAAAGTTATATTCCTTTGGCGCGTTGGAAGTAAAATTTTAGCATGCAACAGAAGTTGGGTTAGCACACAGAACTTTAGATGAAAATTAGTATAGGGCTTTCTGCTGTATTCTCCGGCGTAATCAGAAGGAACTACTCCCCCACCAGCATTAGTAACTCGTAGTAATGAAACACTCAAAAATTACGTCTGATTTAATGAACTTTCTAGGGCGTACTGAAAAAATTTAGACAGATAGAAATCACAATACACGTATGACGGTTTTGACAGATCACTGATCAAGAACTTTTGATCGTGACCTTTGATCTAGTCAATCATGTTGTAGTTTAACGAAAATGCAAAGATTAGATCAGGATAAGAAAAAATGAACGTGTATGTCCGATCAGTCTTATTAGGACTGATGACATTTTGATCTTATGTTGATAATGATGTAGCGAACATTCAAATAGGAATGTGTAAGAAAAGATCTGGGAAAGGACATTATATGCTCCGTGTGTTTGTTAAGTTTTCTAGTAGACATGTATTCAGTGGCTTCCTTTTGGACGGTTTTCATTCATATTGAGTAAATTTACTGAATCTAATATATCTTCATCTAATAACATCATATAATTACTACTGCCACGCCCCAATTGATCAACTGTCAATGTTTGAGAAGCGGTAGCGTTATTGTTATCGCCCTTCGTTACTGCAAGCGTCAAGTGATGAAACACACGTACCTTCTCGTAACCTTCGCAGCAGCTGGTTCGCAGTCAGGCCAGTTGCACCTAATGACGATTAGTAGTAGTTTACATTCCGTAGTTTGATTCTGTTGGATTGGAAAAGTTATTTTGCTATTACTGCAAAATACAAAGATAAGTGTATTTTGAAAATATCAAATAAAAAACAATGTATTGGCACGTGGACATGATGGTCACATATGGACGGTGAAATGAGAATGCACTGACGCCATCACACATGAAATCTGGTACCGCACCAAGGGGGTGAAGAGTAGCAAAGACGACAGGACGAAATCGTTTTGTGATTAATAGAAGATAATTTCGGTTTGAATGTCCGAGTCATTGTACGGCAAGCATGGTACGGTGCGGAGGATTTTAAGGGAGAATTCCGTGCATTCGCACAATAGTATAATAATAATCCAAATACGTCATACCTGTGAAATTGTTGGGCACACAACACACCAGGATATGCCTTCGTTCTCTTTGCTATTTGTGCCGGCATCGTCACCTTATAGAATAACCGCCAGTGCATTTCTTCCTTGCCCATAATTTACCAGTAACACCGATAAAACGCATCACAATACGAGGATGTTACACAAAGAATAATTACTCTCTTAAACACAAACAACAAGGAAAGGAATTAATCGATTCACACACACGCATCAAAGCACCAAGTCCTTGTATTGTTGATGTTGATGTATAGGGCCCTCAATCCAAAAACTGATTAGCCACGCACCTTCACCCTTTCATATGTTCTTAAGTAGACCTGCATTTGTCTCCAACTAGTTCTGCATATCATAACCGGCAGTGCATTCCATCCTTGTTCATATTCGCGTACGGAACTACACCACAGTATGTAGCGACTCATGGTGTACCTATAGTTATTTGATCGAACCTAGTAGAATGCATTTTCTAATATTAATTGTTTGTCTTTGTACTTTGTACCGAATACAAGACGGTAAACGGGCTTACATAGAGCTTATTGTATGCGAAGCTTTCATGCAACCTTTCCACAGGCAAATTAATTACGTAATTAATACATGTTAATCGATTAGTCAGTTATAAATTAAACGGATGTCATTGTGTTCTGTGTGACATGTGAAATATTGCACGATTTTATTTTTTCTATTTACAATTCAATATTGCAGCCCTGGCAACGCGAATTGTCGTGATATTTACGCTTCACTCATTTTATTTATTCATTGTGAGTTCAGTCGATGAAAAGGCACCTGCAATTCAACCCCTAGCGACAAAACACCTGGTAAATAGTGTACCGTTTTACATTTGTATATTTTAAAACACTGTTCGTAATGTATTTTTAGTGATATTCAAATCAATAGTGATCATAATTTATTGTAGACGTAAATGAATATAATTTTAGAAACATGCAAAAGCAGCAGAAGTTCTTAAAAGAAAGTTTTGTAATTACTTAACAATGGAAAAGATTTGTTACTACAAAATATATATCAAAAGTGTAGTAAAGGTAGGTGGTACAATGCAGATTTAAATTAGTATTAAACAAATTATTTCTTCTATTTTTGCAAATACAGAACATTTTTACTGATGAATCATTTTAAAACATATTACAGTGTGTGTTCTGAAATTATAAATCGTATTCATACTCAAATTAAATGTTTTAAGCGTTTTCATATTATTACAAAATTATTGTTTGCTACAATCGAAAGCTTTCGAGATAGAAACTGCTGAATATAATAACAATACGAATATTCTTTTAGAAAAGTGTAACAAATTTTTTAATAGTTATGATATTTACTTAAACAGGCCTTGTGAAAAGCAAGTACAGTAAAAGTTCCTTATTCACGGTTTCATTATTCGCGGATGAAAAAATTGTAACCCAGTTCTCGTATTCGTAGTTAAAAATTTCATTATTCGCGGATGCAATCGGTAAACAGAAAAGGATTCGGTGTCATTTATTAAGGGGACTGACCGCAATAGACCGCTCGTACCTAGTGTGAATTTTTCCGAAAACATGGGTTTCTAATCTAAACATTGTGATTTAACGCTGCCTGATAAATATCTGGTTTTCAATAATATGGTCATTAAAAGCTTTTACAAGTGCTTAATTTTGATGCTTCTTGTAGGAATAGAAATTAAAAGATTTAAAAATGGCCTTTCTACAAGCTTTAGAACGAAGCTTTATCTATCTTACTACAAAATTTCAAACTTCTATTCCAAACATTAAATTCATGATATCTATAACCAATAAGCATGTTTTCACTCTACGGCGCATGTACTAGTGAAACCCCATAATGTATCAGCATCTTTTGAGTATGTACTGTTGGTACGTGCTGAGGCAGCTTTTATAAAAGATGTAACCCAGTGGACTAATTTAAAATTCAAAACAAAAAAAATCACTAAATTAATTTTAATTGCGAATTTCTCAATAAATTGATTTTATTCTGATACATATTGGTTTCATTTCGGATCCTTAGAACGTATTCCCTATGATTCCATATTAATTACCATTCCATCCACGGTTTCTGTATTCGCGGCAGATTTAAGGAACGTATACCCCGCGAATAAAGAGCTTTTACTGTAATGTATTTAACACTGTAATGCCGCACTATAAGTTACGTAATTATATTGTCTTTCTGGATAATTCCGGAGGCTTCCAGCCACTGCTTCTAGATCTCTATAATCACAAACCTTACTAAACATCGATTAAGAAAAATTTTCCCTGTGAATATCCGATGTTACTCATTTAGCCAGACATCTCGCTGCTCAACAGGAATACCGCATTTTAAAATTACCTGTAATACTGATAAAACGCACCACGATACGAGAATATTACACAAATAATTAATCTTTTAAAAGCAAGCAAAAAGGAAAGAAATTAATGTATTCACACCCACGCATTAGAAAATAACGGCCAATCAGCTGCTTTACTTATGCCGACTTAATAGCAGACTGCAGAGTCAAATATATCTTGTTGCGTTTACGTCATGCGGCTGTGACTTTAGAGCATCAAGTTCTTGTACTACCGGTGTTACTGCAATCCAAAAACTGCTTCGTTACGCACCTTCACTCTTTCATATGATTTTTATTAGACCTGCATATACCTCTTACAAGTTCTGCACATCATATCAATACAGGGTGTAACAGAAATAAGTGCCGAGCTTTGGAGGGTGTACACTGAATGCAATAAAAAATTGCACGGTGAGTTCGGCACCGTGGTTTAGGAAAAAGAAAATCACAATAATTTACAATCCGAAGTCGGTCAACTAAATAGCGCAGTGCTATAAAAACTTTGCAGCTGCATGGATGGAGAATGTAAACTTTGTCGATTACCGATATCTAAGATAAACACAACCAATTTACTACACAATCAAATAGGCCGAATCATGTAAATCTACGAAACACAAAAGAAAGAAAAAATGTAGAGTAATTCCGGAAAAGATGGTGCACCGGGTGAGTTAGAATATTTTTTCGCAATAATAGTTGAGCTCGATAACGTTGCTGTCAATCCGTCCAGGAAGAGAGAACCGTTCAGCAACTAGCAGACTAGGTTCAGGAAGAAGTCCAAGAAGTAAGAAGCTCCAGGAACCATGTTAGAGACAAATATCATTCCGTAGCAGGTACATCTTCCACAGGTATTGAAAAGGCTAGGAAGCGAGCGTGGCAACCGTTTTAACATCATCGAGGTACACTGAAAAAAGAACATGTGTCAGAGAATCAAAACCGGCGAAAACACTACAGAAGGCTATGAATCCAATGACGAAGATTAAACTAAAGAAGAAAAAAAAAAAGTAGTGAAGAATGCGGTTACAAATGAGTCAACAACGGATGACGACAAGTCAAATTTACTCTACAGGAATCTAGTGATAGCCTTTATGAAGACGACTAGGTGCAATGCCTTCAATGCGATGGTTTCATGTAGATCTGCTCAAATTATGTAAATTATTATGACATGTTCGAAAAATTTTATGTCGCAAAAATAATTAAATGTCAGGCTTTCCTAGTGAACCATCTCACCTGAAGTGGCTGTACCAATTCAGCCCATGTCGGGTAATACGGTACAGGTGACGAGAATAGATTTAATTTTTTTTGAAGTGAAACTTCTATACGCACGAAATCATACAACGCATTTCCCCCCCTGTCTGGCTCTATGTATGCATAGATATTTAAAACTACGCAGCGGATTTTAATGCGTTTTTT